AGGCGGGAAGTTCGGCTTCGCAGAATCCATCCCCAACCAAAGGATCACTGCCTTCAAAATGGAGAGTGCTGCTGTGGACACCAGCGACGTGGAAGAACAGGCTGGAGAAATCATTGCTAAAGCTGACCCTCCCTCAGAAGTGTATCTTTTCCAGAGTATTACTCAGGGGAAAACCAGGCTAAACACACATCTAAGATTTCTCATAGCTTAGGTAGCCATATAACCTCGAGAGGAAATATCATCATCCTCATCATCATCCTGGTCTTGGTTCAGTCTACTTTTAATTCCTTGCCTAAAGGGCAAAGTTGAGGCCAGAACTGTGATTACTACAGTGACTGGAGAAGTGGCACTCTGAACTCCCCTTTAGGGCTGTTCTCCCCAGCTTATAAACCACCTGGTTTGCTCTCAGAATACAGAGAAATTTACCAGCAAGAAATACCAAGGTTTTTCTTAACTCCTGCAGTTTTGCCAGTCCAGTATTGCACACTCCTGGGACAGCCCAAATTGGGGAAGGAATAGAGAGCTCCTGGGGAGACCTTGAAGAATCTGAGAAGGAAGAAGCAGCAGAAGAGGAAGGTGAAAGTGAGGCGGCTGCTTTTGAATGTGAGAAAGTGGAGACTGAGGATATAAGTACACCGAGGGAAACTAAGAGTAGTAAGTATTTGTTTTTCTTAATATCAGATCTTATTATATCACTTTATTAACAGTTCATAATTAAAATGTGAAAGGTCTGCAGGCAGAAAGAACCATAGTAGCCACTTCACACATTTGCTAATTCTACTTGACCCAGTCAGTTCTTTCAAAACTTGATTTCTGTAGTAGAGGGAGGGCTCTAAATGAATCAGTAGCCCCTCTGGATGTTTCTTTAGAAATGCTGTGGTTATTATTTACAGGGGTTGTTTGTACAAAACTGACCAGCAGTTTGGGGTTGGTGGGGTTTGTGTGTTTTTTAGAGGAGCCCATTGTACTGTCTGACAGTGAGGAGGAAGAAGTTGTCATTCTGGAACCACAGGAACTACCAAGGAAAACAAGGTAACCAGCAAGTGGAATTAGGAGGGGAAAAGAGTTTGTAAGGAGTATTACCAGGAAGGACAGAATTTTGGCAAGGCCAAGAAAGATTTCAATGGATCAAAGGGAATACGGATATAGCTGAGAGCAAGGAAGTTTAAATCTCGGCTAAATCTCTAGTCTTCTGTCCTGGAAGGCCAGAGCCTGGCTGGCCTGCAGCTGTCTGAGATGGTTTTGGCCATTTGACTCATTTTAGTCCTTCCAGAGGGAGTGAGAGCATACAAGTGGATCTCAGTCAGAGGCTCCTTAGAGGTGCTGCAGACATTATCTGGGGCATACTAGAGCTGATGTTGAGTTTTACCTCCAAGAAGTGAGATTTGCTGCTGTATCCATGGAAACCCTTGTTGTTAGTGTACTTCCAAAAGATTAACATACACCTTGGCCCCAGGCGTGGTGGGTAGTTGCCAAGTTATGGATAATCAGCCTGTGTTATTTTGAAAAGCTATTCAGTATGTTTCTCTGATACAACTGTTTGCTGACAGAACACAGACCAGCTCCAAACAAGAAAATCCAAGTAAGAAAGCATTTAACAAAAAGAGAAGAAAGAAGAGAACTTCTCATTAAAGCCATCAGCCCTCCTGAAGGAATGCTGTATAATATGGATTTTGGTGTATTATTACTGAGCTTATTTTTGTAGATAATTTTATTTACTTGGTTCTGCTTTTACTTATATGTTAAACAATTGTACACAGATTTAAATAAAAAAATGGTGCCCGTAACTGAAATCCTAGGTTTGGCATCTAGGTGCTGCAAAAACGCACCTAGTTCAGCTTTCTTCACAGGGGAAAAATCAATGTGCTGTGATTAAAACCTCCTTGCCCATTACTCCACATCTTACCTTGCACTCAAACCACTTGGAAAACACTATGAAAATCATCAGAAATGCATGGACTTAACAAACTAGCACAGAACTTCAGCAGTGGAGTTTCGTTAAAAGTTTAATTAAATATTACATGCAACAGACAGGAATGTTTCTTGAACTATAGGCCAAGAGTTATGCTCTGAATTTAGGATCAGGCAAAACAAAGAGACAAGGAGGATTGCAAAATACCTGATCTGGGCACTTTGTTTGCAAACAAGTGACCCTGGAAACACACACATATTTACAAAGTGAAGCAGGGCTATTTTACAGGTGACCTCAGTGTTACATGAGCTGTGAACAGGAGAGAAGTTACTGTTGCAGATTTCACATTCCCATTCCCCAAATCAGGTTAAAATCTTAATGTAAAAAAAAAAAAAACAAAAACAAAACAAACCCAAACCATATGTATATAACATTGCTCCCAGCCAGGCAAATCTTGAATCAAGTTGTGCTCTTTCAGGAAGGGACCAACACACAAAACCTCTTTTCTCCAGGGGCTAAACCAGTGCATTTTCTTAGTGTCAGTTCTTCCAACCCAAAGTCACTGTCCCGAGTACAAAAATGGGTGAAGATGCAGTTCCTTCTTAGTCGTGTAGTACCACAAGACTGTAAACTTCAGAAAAAAGAACAGTATTTATTGCACTGCTGTTTCTCCCTTCTTCACACATAACATCCCTGTATTCCTTAGAGCCTTTAGTTGGAAAGAAGTTAACCTGGATAGGCTTAACAGTAGTACAGTACAATCCGGGATATTTTGTTCAAGGCTTCGAAGCAAAAGCTGGAATTGTCCCATATTAACTTTGGAAAATGAGAAGGTGGAAAAAGATAGCATTTAATAGCAGAGGCAAGAGCTACCCTGAGGAAGGAGGAACATTGTGGGCAGAGATGCCAGCTCCTGACAAGATTTTTTTGTTAGGCTGCAGAAGAAGTTGTGTTGATAATGGTGAAAATAAAGCTCAGGGAGCATGGAAGAATTTTTCTGTGGTATGGGAACAGTAAGGGAACAAATTTCATTGAAACTTGAGCACAGCTCTTTGATTAAGCACTAAATTAATACTAAAACCCACTGAAGTCTCTTCACCTACTGCTACTTACTCTTTTTCTGGAGAAAATACTTCATAAGCTTCCTTTAAATTACCCCTCCAAAGTTGGTATTTCTCAGTGGTCTTGGAATACACCACAGAAAGGAAGGGGAAGGTAGAACCCAGTTTCCCAGGAAGAGCACTGTTGCCTGTAACCTTCAAGTAATTGCTACCAGTCAGCGTTGCCAGTTGCACTTCCAAGGTCACAAACAGTGAAAAACACTCCTCCCTATGCAAACTCCCTCTCCTGCAAGGTTAAAGTGTTTCTAACCCCAAGCACCAGACATGACACCCTGCACAGGCTGTCCCAAGTTCGTTTTAGCATTTCCATAGCAGCCCACTGAAATTCATCTAAACAAAGGCTGTTGGCTAATGAAATGCAGTTCTTCATAAGTCCAAGTGCATCCTAAGAAGATCAGATTGGCCAAATTCCTGCTGCTTATTTCGACCAGAATTTTGATCACCATTTGACTCCATTGGTTTTGTAGTTGAGGTTGTTCAGGGAAGGCTCAGGCAGGAGCACAAGGGTGGGAGCAGAGTAGTAACTTTGTAGTTGCTGAGGTGACACATAGATTGTTCTAATTAACTGCTGCTGCTCAGCCTGACAGAGATGACGATTATTTCAAATAGCCCACACCCTAACAGCTGTTGGACATCTGTGAGGAGGAGTTTATAGTGCTGGGTGCCCAGATAACCAGAGACAGCGCCAACTCAGCTTCAAGTCTAAGAGGCACAGGTTTCACAGGGCAGCCCTTGCCTGAAGGCTTTAGAAATGAATGCCAATTTAAGATGACAGCACTCCTCCTCAGTGATTTTAAGCTATTGGCAAGACCACTAACATCAGATACAAAAACTGTTTATTAGCCAACCTGGAAATGGCTCAATTCAGCCCACTTCCGTGCACTCACTGCTTTACATGCCAACAGCAGTGGTACAGGGCAGCATCACTCCATTTACACAGGCTGAAGGTAAACATCCACTTGATCTAATGCTGATTGAATGCCAGTTTGCTTATGTAACAGTTCCAGAACTAAGGAAAAAATGGCACATTTTTGTTGTGTGCCAGAGAGGAGCTCCTCCCAAGCATGAGGGGCATAGGGAATTCCTGCTGCTCTGCACGCAGCCCATCCATGTCAGAAGACATTCCCTGCTCTTGAGGCCACAGAGCAGCAGTTCACCCACTGCAGTTTAACCCCTCCAGCACCCCCAAAGAGGTAAATGGCAAGCAGACTGAGGACTAATTTTCTCAGTAGGCATCAATGGACTTTTGGGACAGCCAGCACATCACTGGAAACTCCACGGGTTTAGATTAGTATCAGTTTTACACTTGGACCAGAAAATACTGACAGCAAGACCATTTTCTGCGTAGCGGAAGCGTGAGGTATGAACTGGTGCAGGGGTTTTAACTGTGCAGTCCCTGCAGCAGAGCATTCAGCCTTTCTCCTGATGAAGATCTGGCACTACATTATACAGCAACTGGGGCACGTCCTAAACAGCCTCATGAGTCAGTTCCAGCAAGGAGTTCTCCTCGTGGCCATAGAGTTTCTTCCAGTTTTATAGCCATTAAGGCAACGTTTTGGATCTATGCTAAGTCTCAGTTTAAACTAGACAGAATAAAAATGCTACTGATACTCTGTGGAGACCAAATCTTTCTCACCCAGAAGGAGAAAAGCCCTACTATAATAATGCACTGCTAATATTAACATTTAGTCTATAATTAGATAAGCAGTCTCAGACTTCATGTGGCCTGCATGGTTAATTCTGTGCCTGAAGAGAACATTTTGATAAAAACACAGCTAAAACTCTTAACAAGATTGCATGTACAAAAGATTTACATTATAACCACATGAAACAAAACTTCATAATTGAAGTCATCAAAGCCTGTATTCATATTTTGAGTGATCATATCTAGAATCCTGAACCATGTTTAAAACTGTACATCATTTTCTTGTAATATACATCTCTTAAAAACATCAGTCTCTTGATTATTACGATAAGTTTAGTGTGTCTGGTGGGTCAATGAGCGATACTCCATGGTACCTAGAGAGGGAACAAAAGAGGCAGGATGTCATCTTGCTCAAGAGCTCTTTGCCACAAAGAGCAGCATAACTGCAGTAAAGCACATTTCCTACCAGGCAGGAAACATTCTGGGGCTTGTTGGCTGCCATGCCCCACACAGATTTTTAGGAGCATTAGGTATCATCAACTGTAGGAATGTCAAGAAAATTCCTCCAGTTTCTACCTGACAGTTCAGGCAGCAACAGAACACCAAGTATTGCCTGACAAACCACAATGTAAAAACCCCGAGGAGTCCTGTCACCCTCTCATTGAAGAGGTGAATTTGGTTAGCTGAGTGCCTGAAGACTCAAAAGATACATCCCACACCCACGCCCTGCCAGGCAGTTACATGCTTTAACAACTCAGACATGAACACCTCCACAGGTACTCACTTGGTACTCTTGTACTTTTCCCTTATGGACTGTTGTGTGTGCTGGGCTGCTTTGAGGTAGGTGTTGTGCAGGTCTATGAGGCAAGGCTTGATGTCTTCAAGGGTGTAGCCAGTTACTTTGCACAGGGATTCAGGCTGAGAGGAAAAATGAAAGGGTGAGGGACATTTGAATGCTGCTGTTCACTTATGCTGATCACCAGTGGTAGAGTTTTTAGCTTCCTGTTGAACCATATTTATCTCATCCCCCCATCCCATTTTTCAAATACCACAGGGAGCAATCCCTAATTAACAGCCTAAGAGCACAGAGGGGCTGCAATTCCTGCAGCCCAGGCCCATCACTCAGAACGGTGTACAAATACACTGAACACACAGAGAGGCTCTCGAAGGCTCACGCTGGAGTGCTACATACCCAGGTTTGTCCAGTGAGTGTGTAATCTGCCAGATGAAATGCTGCAGCAGCAATAACTGATGGCAAGTATTTCAGGTAAGGATCAGCATCAATTAGACTCAGCTCTCCCAGGTACTGCAAGGGAAATGAAAAAGGGAATCATCTGCTTTCAAAAGTTAACAGTTGCTTTAGAACCCTAACTTGAGCTTCCAATCCTTCCATCAGTTGGAAGCACAGCTTTTATCAGTTTCCACTTACTTCCTCCTTAACCATCTCCTGCTAGCTACTGTCAAGCAGCATTCCCAACACATGCTTTCCCAGCATATTTTATATTTACAAACACATAAGAAATAGAGGGAAGGCTGCAGTCGAATCTGACCTTTGCACAGTGAGACAAAGGCTTGTGTTTAGGACCTCTGGTACCTAGCATACAGCTAGGATTTACTGTAACTTCAGATGAAATGTTATCTGTGCTCTGCTCTAGAAATTAGCCTCTGGATTTAGAGCTTGCTGCTGGTTGAGGAGAAAACCAAACCTAAAGTCCTTTTTTGCCAAAGTGCATGTGGGGGTAGGTGTGGCAGCTGTAGATAAGAGAGAGGGAAACATCTATCTAGCAGTGCAACAAGCCTCAATTTCAAGTTCATTAATCTCTGCCTGCTCTGAGTAAGGGTGCATGCTTGAGCCAGGCCAAGTGCCAGCCTCTGATAAGAATGGAGCATCCCAAACAGAAAGTGGCAATAGGAGTGTTAGTTCCCAGCAGTGGGACACCACTCCTGGAGGAGCACAATTCATAAGGTGTATATATGTTATACATACCTGTGCAATAAGTATCTGCAATAAAACTTTCTAATTACATGAGCTGAGCTAGTAATTCCTACTTACCATTGACAGGCTCTCCACTTTAGCATCTGTCTGCTGGTGTAGGAAGTACTGGGTGAGGAACTGGTTGATTGTTGGAGCTGCCAAGTCAAATGACAAAACCTTCAGAATTAAGTGCTCCATCCTTAGGACCTGCTTCTTGGTGTAGGTGTCGTCTGTGATGTAGACAAACTCAGCTACTTCGGGAGGGTAGATCTCTTCAAACTTTCTGCCAGGAGAAACGTTTATGAGTAAACAATTGAGTACTAGAAAACCACCAGCACTTAATGAAACGCTCATTTAAATTCTGACTTGGCAAGGAGCTGGGCACTGGTGCCAAACAAGTTTGCTGCAGTTGGTTCTGTAGCTCTTGAATCGCCAGGATTTGAAATTAGAGAGCTACAACAGTATGATAATTTATGACTAAGGAATGTAGTACTTGGAGCCACTGAAACTCCAGAATAGCCCACTGAATTAGCAACTAGGGCAAGCACAACTTGCTTTTCACATGCCTTATGTATATTGCCTCAAATACTGTTTTAGATGCTGGCTTCCATAGCTGGAAATAACAGACCCTTATTTTAGGGGCAAACTTCAAAGATAACTGCCAAGCTTTTAGGTGGATAACTTCTGATTTTTATCCTAGTGTGAAGCCCTCCCAAATCAGTCCTGCTGTAGGCAACAGAACAGCCACAAGATTTTCATCAGTAGGTAGAACCTGAAATGAAGCAATTTCACTTACGATGCAAGCAGCATAGCTGCAGTACCCACAAGCTGAAGTTTTCCTCTCAAAACAGACATGGAAGAAAGAAACCTATCAATGTAATTTACAGCTAAGTGCAGGGTTTCGTTCTGTAATTTGTATTCTTCTCCAACTTCCACCAGCCAGTCCACAAGAATAGCCCGCATGTTGTTTGTGATATCAGGTTGCTTCTTCATGTAACCTATTTTGGGCTTGCACTTCACCTGTAGGTTTAGATGACAGATAAAGTTGAGGATGGACCACGTGCTGGTAAGGAAGCAGCTGTTTAAACTCCATTTATCACAGTTTAACAAATCAGAAGTAAACACTGGTGAGTTTAGGATCAGAAAGTTCTATTTCTGTAATCTTGCTTTCCAGCTTGAGCATGGCACAATAAACTTTATCACTATGAACCAGTCCCGTGCTCTTATTTCTCCCTTTCTAGCAAGCTCTAATTTAGTCACTGTCTTGGTAACTCATGTTCAGATACATTTCGCCACCCCAAACTCTTCCCCCATGGGGTGTATGCAAATAAGAAAAGGGACAGCAGCTCACCTCCATCTCCCTCAGGTACGTATGGATTTCATTGATATAGTCTGGCACATTATTAACGTTTGGTGCTTTCTCTTCTGTTTCTGAGGTTATTGAAATATCCATAATACTTGGAGAATCTAAGCAGAGGATAACAGCCATGTTAAAATGGGCACCATCACATCATTTCCTCACAGCACAGGGAACCTTGTGCAGGCTCACTCAGCTGGACTGGGAGTTGGGGAGACTCTACGGAAGTGAAATGTTAGGGCAACAGGGAAGTTTCCCCTTCCCCTTTCTCCTCTTCCCGCTAAGAATAAAGAGATGGAAAACTCTCTTGCAATTATGTAGTGCTCAGTGCACCCTGTGTTACCTTGTAACATAGATGTGGATCCTGTAAGCTTAGATTGTGGTTTACAACAGGGCAGGGGTGCCGGAGGTTTTTTGTAGATGGCAGAAGCGGATCACAGAAAAATGAGCCCCCAGATATTCAGACATGTGCTACAGAAGATTGATCTGGCAGTTCCCATTTTTCACATACTGGCAAGAGCTCAAAACACTTGCACCACTACCTGGGGGAAAAAACTTTTACATCTTGGGATCTGCCTGGGTATAGTCCCCTTCTAACTCTGTAATGGTAGCAAAGGGCAAGGCTTTATGGATTGATCTTGTCTGTAATCTGACTTCTCTCATGAGGTACCGAGAGCTAAAGTTATAAATTATAAAACGGCCTAAAATAGCAGGGGATAAGAACACAGAGGCTCAGCTGCACGGAAGAGCTGTTGCATCCTGGTGGCAGGCTCAAAGGAGCCAAACCAGCCTGCGTCCCAAGCCACAGCCCTCCAGCTTTCCTTCCCCTCTGGAAACCATTCCCTGGCTGAGGAGCTCCGCGGGGCAGGGCCCTGAGGGGGAGCAGGTGGGACGCGGCCTGCATGGCGCACCGGGGCCGGCCTCTCACGTACCGAAGCTCAGCTCCATGGCGTTGCCCAGGGGAGCCAGGGGCCGCCGCTCCCCCAGGGCACACACGGCCGCACGCAGCCCCAGCGCCGCCTCCTCCTTCTGCCCCGCCGGGACGCCCCGCTGCCGCCGCGGCTCCCGCTCCCCATCGGGCTCGTCCACATGGATGGAGAAGGGCTGATGTTGGTGCTGCTGCAGCCCCGCCGCCGCTCCATGGCCCTCGCAGCTGCCCCGCGCCGCCTGTGGGGAGAGCGGCCGTCAGCGCCCGGCCCTGACAGCTCCCGCCGCTGTCCCTTCCACGTCCCCCCGCTCCCGCCGCTCCCCCCTCACCTGCAGCGGGATCCCGGCGCGCTGCTGCGCTCCCCGCAGCAGCCCCAGCGCCACGCGGGTGCCGGCGGCGGGCGGCGCCGCCGCGGCTTTGCCGGCCGCCGGCGGGGGCACGTTCTCCTGGTTCTCCTGCTCCGCCAGCATGGCCGCAGCAGGAGCGGGGGGCAGCGCGGCGGAGGGGACGGCGGGGCCGGAGCGGCGGGGCCGGGGACGGGCGCGCCTGGAGCCGCCCGCGCCGTTCAAGTAGCCCGCGACTCTTGAACCGCCCAATGGGCGCGCGCGGCGTCACGGCCGCGCCGGATGGGGCGGACAGAGGGACGGACAGACAGACACGGGCGGACACCGAGGGCGGGGAGCCCACGGGGAGGGAGCGCCGCTGCCGGGGACAGCAGGCCTCCGCGCCCGCCCAAGGGAGGGAGAGAAGAGCCTCGGGCGTTCCCGCCGGGAAACGTGTGTGGGAAACGAGCTGGAGCTTGCCCAGCCAGGCTCGTGAACGTGTCCCGGGAGAAAAGGAGGCTGGGGAGGGAGACCTCATCACTCCCTCCAGCTCTCTGAAAGGAGGGGGTAGTGAGGTGCCCGCAGCGAGGGGACAAGAGGAAATGGCCTCGGCATGAGACTATAATAACCTTTCGATTATCAAAGAGTCGCAGAGCACAAAGGTACTCGTGTTCTAACCACCCTGCTCTGGGCAGGGACACCTTTCATTAGACCACACTGCTCAGAGACCCATCCAACTTGGTCTTGAACGCTTCCAGAGCTGGGGTATCCATAGTTTCTCCAGGCAACGTGTGCCAGGGCCCCCCCCACCCTCAGATGAGACAATGAGGAAAAAAATTACCACTGTTAGGGTAAGTCACCATCCCTGGAGGTGTTTAAGAGGTGTCTGGATATGGTGCTGGAGGATGTGGTTTAGGGGTTTCAGTGATAATGACAAGTTGATGGTTGGACTTGATGATCTCAAAGGTCTCTTCCACCCTTGATGATTCTACCTCACTTCAATGGCGTTGATCTTTTTTACTTGCTAACAGATCTCTGTCTCCACTGGCTGCTTATCTCTTCTAATTTTAAATAAGACCAAGTGAGAAAGTAGGTGGAGTTTTGAAATGAAGCACAGGGAGGCTGGAGAAGCACTGAGGAAGTTTAATGCCATCCATTCCTAAACAAATGTGGCTTTAAATGGAGCTGTCATCAGTCTAACATTCAGAGTTCTCCCCCCTCTGCACACACCAGCTACATCAAGTCTGGTGAGATTCTCACACCACATTCTCAACGCAACAGGAGAAACTAAGTTAGGTACAGCTTAAACACACAGATTTATTCTAAATCCATCCAAGTTTCTTGAAACCAGTTTCTTCATTCCTGCAGCTGGGAGGACAGGCTTAAACAGTAGTGAAAACATTTTTCCCAAAAGGATCTTTGGTATTTACATCTGATCTTTCTTGAGCTATTAACACTGTACATAAAACCTCTGCACACAGTTAACATACACAACACTTTATATGAAGTTTCCTACTGTATCCAATATGATAATAAATATGAATAAAACCTAAGAGCTGACAATACAACAAAAGAGTAAAAGTGTTTTTGAATTGATACCAAAATGCCTTGGTTAAAACCAGAAAAATTACTCTGGTTTTTCCTTGTCAGGCAGCATCAAAAAAAGCGATCAATCCATCTTGATCACAGCCATCCAGAATTTCCAGAAGGAGAGGAACTTTGGTTTTCACATTGGTGCCTTTAAATTTAAATTTATCTATGAAGAGATCTGTGATCATACCTGTAAAGATAAAATTCCAGGAATTACTATATATTTTCAGTAGGAGGTATGTCTACTTTTAATTCATGATTATGTACCAAGTATTCTAGTGGTTAGAAGAGTTTTTAAAGTTCATGTTTTAAACAATGGTTGAATTGTAAACAAATCCAAGCCACTTAACTTTTATACATTCTTAAGTGCCATCCTGAATTTGAACACAATCTTTAACCATGTCCACAAAGACAAGAATCATCTGAATATAAGCAGCTGTCTATTTCAGCCATGTCTCTGGACATTAAGCTCCATTTAAATAAAGCTGAATTGTCAACAAACCATAAAGTCTCTCAAGATGTGCAGGTTGTCTCTTGTATTCCTCCAGCAGCTGATCTGCCTCTTCCAAAATGCTGCGGTATTTTGGGAGCAGGAAGTCCACGTTGCCTTCATGAACTTGTAATTCCTCAAAGACAGTTTAAAATGGTAAGAGCTAACAGCAGCTAAGTATCATAAGAGCAGGTAAGTAAGAAGAAATTAAGCTTAGATATGTCAGAAGGAAGTACTTCAAAGGCAAGACAATCCCCTTCTAAACGAGCACGTGTTATTTCCAGAGTCCTTCATTTTCTAGGCTTCTAATGAAATGCCAGATGTCCCTTCATAGACTGGATTCTCAAAATCCTGCTTATTTCAGCTTCCAGCTCTGAGCTAGAACAGGATCACACCATGCAGACTCAAGCCTTGACTATACCTTCATTTTTAGAATAAGTGAATTCCTAAAAAAGTGTAGCACTCAGTGAAGTCTGAAGCTAAAAGTAAACTCTGAAAGTATCACTGCATTTGTGACAGTAAAAAGTTTTGAATGCCTCTTCTAAAAAACCTCAGTCTATCAGCAGACCAATTTGGAATGGTTCATGGTATAGATCTTTTTATCCTCCAGAGAAATGTACTTCTGTTCTAGACAAGAGGTAATTATGTTGTGCACTGTGAGTCTGCTGGGACACCAGCTTTCATCAATCATTAGATTATTTTACTACCTGTCCAATAAGTTACCATCCAAAAAATGAGTGACCAAAAAATTTGTCGAAGATTTGCTGTCTAAAACAAGCAAGATGTACAACACCATTATTATTGCATAAAGATATTGTGCATTAAGAATTCATTCTCTATTATTGTTTAAATCCCTGGTTTGCCCAAAAAATATTGTTTAAATCCCAAAACTAGCCCAAGTAAAACCTTTTTAGTGATTGACACTGTTCTCACTGGTAGCCAGCTTTTCTACTATCTGAAAAGCTCTGACAAACATTTGATTCCCCCAAAAGGATGACAGAACTGGTTGAAAATTTTCACCTCCATTCCCATTAAATAAAAAAAAAAAAACAACAAAAAAAAAACCACCCAAAACAACTCGATTATGGTGAGCTTTTGACAGGAAAATCCTGGTTGTTGGAAAAAAATTCTAAGAACTGAGATGAGCTGCCTAACTGGAACCTCCCAAAGGCTACTGAGGAAGGTATTAAGGAAAAGATTCAAAAGCAGATGATTTAGAAATTATGAGACACTGGGATGAAGTTCCAAAGCAAAGAAGTTGCATCTGGCCTGGATGACCTAAAAAACTATAAATGTTAGTGGGAAGAGGGACAGAAGCAGCTGGACAATAACAGCAGGCTAGGAGAGAATATTAGATGATAAATCTGGCTGCCCCTCTACCATCCAATTTAAGCATGTTCAGTAACCCTACATGTTATTCACTAGTTATACAGCAAAAAAGAGAATTTTCCTTGAAGAAATTTGCCTCTTAGACACTTAAAATACATGCTTTAATTGAATTTAAGGGAACAGACCCCACATGACACACACCTGACTTGAGCCATGCTTTAGTATCTGACAGCATAAGCCCCCATAAAAACCAAACCCCAAGAGTTCAGATACTTACTCTCAAAGCATCTATTAAGTGCACCTTCTTGGCCAGCAGCTGCTGATACTCTAATTTAGGGTGGATAAGCTTTAATGTGTGCCTCACAGATTCTTCATTTACATCTAGCAGGGAGTAAAAAAGAACCCAAACAAGCAAATGAATACTACATATTCCATTTATGGGAATAACAAATGAACTGAAGGATAACAAAACAGAGAAGGATTTTTACCATATGATATGTTGAGATTAATCTTCCTTTTAGTAGCCTCTTTGGAAAGCACATCTTTGAGGATGGATATTGTAGAGATGTTGTCAGATTTAAAATATCCCTCACCTTTTCTATAAAAGAAGAACAATTTTAAATAAACTTGAATACACATGCATGCATTAGGTTTAGTAATTGTATTTTACCTGTAGGTACTTTCAAGCTGTGTTCCCAGGAAAGTGTTCTGAAAATAAAAGGTGATGCACTCTCCAGCAGGAGTCTTTTCAGGCACCTCAGGCAAGCAAAACACAACCCAGGAGTGAATTTCAGCAAAACTGAACTGGCCTTTGAGCATCAGTGTATTCATGGGCCTGTGGCATTGTGAAATTAAAAGAGAAAAAGGACAGTTAATAGTTAAGAAGGAGGAGTTAAGAGGTTTTTACACTGTCCATGTAAAAAAAATTTAGTTCCACATGATGGTTTCCTTTTAATCAGCACCCTGTAAAAAAATCAGTTCTCTCCCTAAGTACAGATACATATTGTAGATTACAGCTATTTTTCTGTACTTCAAAATGCAGAGCTACATGCATATTCAAGTTTTACCTCCCACTAGGCATGTCAGATCTAGGAAAAAAAAAACAAGTTGGAAGTTTTTGATGTCCCATTGCAAGTTGTTAAACCTGAAATTTAGGACAAAGGTAAATAACTGACAAGAGCAAATATGACTAAGACAGAGCCTCAAGAGCCTCCCATGCTGTAAACCCCAGATGCAGCATTTTTATCAAGCACAAGGCATAGTGGAGCTCATTTGCACACTGAAGGCTTTGGTCGCCTCCCTTCCATCTTTCAGTTTTCATCTGAACAGGCAGATCCTTGGAGGCAATACGAGATGTTAGTGAGGTGGGCAAAAATCCATCAGAAATTGTGTAAAATACAAAACTCCTATAACAGAGAGATAAAGGTAAAATGTCTTGGCTCAGTTTTGGGGCCAAGTTAGCTGTGAGGAAAAAAAATAGAGGAAAAGGGTGGAGCAGAGAATGAGGCTGAAACTGAAAAGGCACAGTTACTTAGAGAGGAAAGTTTCCTTTCTACCACACCCTCAGCTCTACTAACACATAGGGCTGAACTATAACCCAGGGCAGTAAAATGAAAAATAGCCCCAAAACAAGAGCAGCAAGGAACACATTTAATCCATATTTTCTACTAGGAAATCCATGAAATGGAGCTACAGGCTCAAAAGTGTAGGTTAGGGGTTAGAAATTCCATACGTAAGT